GTTGGGTCAGAGTTTGGACCACCGGTTGGGTCTCTTTGGTTTCACATGATTTCAGAGGAGTACTAACCGGGCTCGTGTCCTCGGCTGAGGAGTCCTTTGCGCCTTCCGCGGTACCTGCTGTTAGGCAGTTTGGGTCACACTCCGGAGGCATTTGTATTGGCAGTGGTTTGCTCACTTTTGCCCACATCGTTTGATCACCATAATCTATAATCGCGTCGAAGCGATTTATAAAATCCTGGCCAACCAAAAATGGGAATGAGTCAACACGAGACACGTGTACCGGGTGGTATAGTGTCATTTTGCCAACCTGCATGTGAACCATTGCTATAGCTGTCAGGGTTGTCCTCTTCTCTGAGAGACCCTGCATTTCTATAGCACATTCTGTGAGAGGTATTATCCTGTTAACACCGGCAGCAGCTGTCCTCAGCTCCTCGAACAGTTTAGCTGACATAATTGTTATGTCTGTCCCACCGTCCAGGAGTGCTTCGTGTGTGAGGACTCCTTCGAGTGTTACTGACAGGTACGCCTTTTTGGCGACCCCCCTTCTGATAAAGTTACACAGAAACCTCTTACGTTTTTTCTGACGTTTCTTCACACGTTCAGCCTTGTCTGTGCAATCTCGGTTTGTCTGAACCGTCAGCACAGCGGTAGCTGTTTCTGAGTGTTCAGCTTGCGATGACTCGTCATCGTTTGTGTGTGAGTTTACCCCCCCTTCTTCCGATGAGGGGTTGTTGGAGGCAACAACAGCAATATCTTGGTGTGTTCCACCGACATCTGTAATGTTGTCATTCGCGCCCTCAGATGTAATAGTGATTACATCACTGCATAGTGCTCCAGGTTGGTTTCCCGTCTCAGCGCGTTTCAAAGTTTCTAACAACCTGCGTAGTTTCTCTGTCTCTTCCGAGCTCAGAGGTGTAGGGCCTTGTTTCTGGAACCTTTGTGATTTATTCGCCTCGGTTCGTTTCGTCCGAGGTGGGGGACGGTTAGGTACGTCTTTTGGGGGTTCCTTTTTCGGACTTCCCCTGATAATACGGGTCCTCTTGGATCCCATATCTTTGCGTCCTACACTCTTAACCCGAACTAGTTGACTTTACTAGAAAATCGCGTGGAAACCCGTTGCCTTAAACCATTCTAGTTTTTACACAAAGAAGAAACTAAACATGTTTAGTTGTGTTAACTTGATAACCTCAGTACAATGTAGTAAATACATTTAGTAGTCACTACTAAAATTGATTAGTAGTGACTACTAAATGTATTTACTACATTGTACTGAGGTTATCAAGTTAACACAACTAAACATGTTTAGTTTCTTCTTTGTGTAAAAACTAGAATGGTTTAAGGCAACGGGTTTCCACGCGATTTTCTAGTAAAGTCAACTAGTTCGGGTTAAGAGTGATAGTTGTATACAATTACCATTTTAAGTTATATTTACATAACCATATAAAGCAAATAACCAATATAACATTATTTAAAGCTACTTATGTTTTCTTAAAACAAGTAATAACTTTTCCTCTACTGTAATTAAGTACTCTTTTGATCTTCAAATTGTATTCAATGCAACACTAAATTTTACAAAAGGGGAGAAATCAAACAAAACATTATAATGTTCCAATATATTTAATTTTTACAGAAAATTGCTGCAAAAGAACATTTTAAGTGCAATTTGTCATCAAGCTTGGCTCAAGTAAAAAAAAGTATTAAAACAATAATTGCTATTAAAAAAACAGCTTGTCATCCAAAAGTCAAGTAAAAGTAGGAAATAAAAGTGCTTGACATAATTATAAATTGTTTAAATAAGGAATACAAAAACAGCAGCATTCAATAACTTGTGTATCCTTGTGAAAAACTGGACACAGTAAAATTAGACAGTCTTCTAAATCTTCAACTGGAAAAGGAGCAGATAAAATGTGATAAAGGTAAGATTTAGCATGTTTTATGTGAATGTACAGTCCAGTCCGTGTTGTTGGTAAATTCAGTCAACTGAAGCAATAAATTCCTGAAAACTTATGAAGCTAAATATTTTGTGATGTTGCTGTTAAGGAAGAACTACATGTTATTTCACCTTAAAATTCTCACATTCTCCTCTGTGCAGACAAGGAGTGTGGTAGATACTACTGCATAGCTCTGTGAGCAGGAAATCTTTTTTGTTCAATCGAGCACACACATTTCAACTTAATGCTTCAACTGACTATTTTTACCATCAACACTGACTGGACATTTACATGAAATGTGCTGAATTTTCCTCAAACTGTATTATATAAACTGAGATTTATCTATCCAATCCTGAGCATACACTTCTCAATCCTGTACTGAAGAACATAAGTGTTTGGACATTCATGTATCTTATAACATTGTAAACTGAACATTATCAGCTAACCGTTGTTGTAGAGCTGTTGCATTGAACTGCATTAGATTATGTAGGTAAGAGCGTGGCTACTGAGACTATATTCAATCCCAACTGTTCAATGACACAATACAATAGACGTTTCTTTACATCGCAAGCTGGTTTTTCAATGTTTGTAACTTTGGTTATAGTTCACTTTGGCCCAGCTCAAAAAATATCTGTTGGATGAACTGGAATGTGGACTTCATAGAACTGGGGTAGTTGAAATGCATAGCATATGCAAGTCCAAAGAGAATGCACATAGCTTTTGGCAGGTCTTGAATGTTGGCCATCACCACTTCTCCCTCCATGATGATTTTCTGAGAGGCTGGACTGAGATGCAAGCAGGATGAGGGCACAGTACCTTCAGGTTCAACGAGGAGCATCCCAATATCAATGTTGCGGAACGAGTCATCATAATCAGAGTCCTTAATAAATGACATGAGCACAACAGAGACAATTATCATTAAACAACCATAAATAATTGATCAAAATAATGATTTCCATAAACCAATTACAATATTTGTCATATCTTCTGTTTTATCACAACATGCAGCCCTAGTTTCCTTGTGTAAATTGTGTATTAGTTTGAGCTCCACAAAAGGACACATGATCATGTGCTAGTGTAACTGGAACAATACCGTATTCTTTCAATTGTTTAAAACTATGCTCACAGGTTTTTTTTTCAAATACAGGAACTGTCATCAGGGTTCCCACATCTGTCTCGGCTCAAATTCCAACATTTTTATTTACCCTTTATTTCTACAGATAGTCTCATTGAGTCACAAGAACTAATTTCAAGAGACCTGTTTAGGGAGCAAATAGTGGGGTTAAGGGCCTTGCTCAAGGGCCCAGAGTGGGGCAAATGAAGGTTGAGGCAGGTGTGGATGTTTCACCTTTTCCACCCACATTTTGACATTGTTAATCCGGGGAGTTGAACCGGTGACTTTCTGATCACTGGCCCATATTCTCTAACCTCTACTCCACCACTCCCTCATGAAACAGCATAGCATAAAACATAAGCATAAGAGTTTATGACATGAACTCAACAGAGCATAGCATAAGACATAAATTAAAATTAAAGGGATAGTTTGGATTTTTTTAAAGTGGGGTTGCCTGAGGTGCTTACAGATGGTCAGCATGTTACCTACAGTAGATGGTGGGCAGCATTTCCCCAGTTTGGAGAAGCAGCAGGACGATCAGTGTAAGAAGATAAGCAGTGTACTTTTGTGGACATGGTCAGCAGCAGTTTGTACTTTTAGACACCTCGAAAAATCTATTTGTTTCAGTGTACGCATATTTAGTATATTTTCAGCACCTTACATTGCTGTCTGACATGACTTTTCTGACTTGAAATGTAAGTTACAGAGCTCTCTTCACACCAACCAAATGCCATAGACGAGATTAATAAATTTACCTCACAGAACACAAGAGTTACTGGTCTACCATGTCACTGTTAGTTTGTGCTATTGTGTGATTTCAGTGAATTCAGTAAAAATAACCCAATCAAACAGATCGAGGCAGCAGTAGAAGAGCAGCTCCTGTATTCAGCAAAGTAAAATGACTAACTATGCCTATGGAGTTTGTTTGGGCAGGAGCAATATTTATATAACGTATACAACAGTTATTGTATGTAAGAAGTCTGAATGACAGTAAGGTAAAACAGTGAAAATATTCTATATTAATATATAATATATATAATATAATAATAGTATAATGTACACTTCACTGGTATTGATTTTTTTTAAGTGGCTAAAACAATGTTTCTGCAGACACTGTCCACAGCAGTACGTTGCTTAGTTTCCTACACTGGTACCCCTACTGCTTCTCCAAACTGAGGTCGCGTCGACTGCCACTTACTGCAAGTAATACACTGACTTTGGATAAATAGCTCATACAACACCCCTGCAAAACATTATTGCAAAGTAAATATTAATTATTGCACAAAAATAAATTCAAGTACGTCCAATGATCCATTTGTCTGTGTATTTTCATAAACTTTCCTTGCACTGATTTTTCCAGAAACTCGCAAACCTTCAAGAATTTCAAAGACCCATGAGAACCACGTATAAGAGAAAATTCAAAATTGAGCTGTCAATGTTCCTTTAGGTAATTTTTGAGAAAATAAAATTACTTACAAAGGCTGGTTTGTAGAAGTCTGTGGGGTTGTCACGAAGAATAACAGGAAGTCCTCTGAGCACCAGTGTTCGAATATCAGTTGGCTCTGCAGTCTGTTGGGCAGTAAAATGACAAACACACATGAGCAAATGATTGCATTACAGTGTGAAGTTCCCACAGCTTCATAAACATCAATATCAAGGACTTTTGAAGGCATTCCCTAAAATTTAAGAACACATGCATCATGGTTAATTAACGTACTGTTACAACATTGAGAAGAGCTAGCAGGCTGTACTGAAGTTCTCTGAAAGTTTTAGTGAAGTTCAGAAACTCGCAGCCTTGTTTTTCCAACCTTTGATTTAAAATCTAACATTTCAATAATCTATGGGAAGCATGAAAATGAATAGTTACACTTGAAGACATGAGCTACTGAAAACAATAGGACCAACCCTGGTCTGTTGGGAAAGCTGTGTCAACACTTGGCCAATGTTCCCTCTCTTGGATCGAAAAATCTCGACAAGACGAGGACTATGTCGATCGATGCTCTCATAGAATTCCTGCTTGAGATTCTTGCCAACAATCCTGTTGAACTCCATGCATACCTGCAAAATACAGAGAATGTTCCAATATCACATCTCAACAACTAATAACCTTAGCTGAAAGCACCAGTGTGAGGGCAGCAAAAAAAAAAGCACAGGTGTATACATGGTCAGATGCAAAACGCAAAGGCCTCTAAAAAAACAAGATTTTTCTAGTCAAACCTTTTTTTGGACAAAAAGTCTATGTACTGCGCACAACTCAGGAGTTGCTTGTCTATTGCTTTGCTTGTTTGTGGTTGTGTGACCTCTGTGAATCCAAATGGACACTTTAAGCACTGATGGCTTCCACAACAATATATATTATTAAATAGCTTTGTTATTCAATTATGATTTGTAAATTTCAGCATTCTAACGTCTGTTACTTCTGTGTAGCAGACCATTGTTATAGAAGACTATTAATATTTTGTGTCAAATTATGGATTTTTGTTGGCAAGTAACCTTTTAATAAGCAGAATAGTGCACAGTGAGCAGGGCATTACTGCATAATACACCCGTTCAGGATAATCTGAAATCTGAGTCCTGCATCAGGCTGTTGGGGTTAATTTTGCAATAATGACCTGCTCACAATACAATTTCCCTTACCTAACAGATAGAGGTAGTTGTAGACAGCAACTCTCATATCCTACAAGGTAAAATTACAGTTTGTGCTGACAGTCTGGATGGGTAACAAATATATTTGGGTCCTATAATGGCAGCTTCCTATTGGAAAGACAGCGATGTAAGCAAGGAAAGGTAATATTTCTGGTGAAGCTTCCATGTTTTAACCTGTAATGTTTTAACAGGTAACCCTTTTCTCTGTTATAAACTCACAGTATTTGCACCTCCACTGCATCTTCACACAAACCTGTAAAAAAATAAAACTTTTAGCACACTTATCCATGACCATATGTCATCAAAGATCAAGGAAATATGGTACTTTGAAATATTCTCGCCCTTTAATTATTCTGGCTGAGAACAGAAATTTCAGTTTTCTTGTTTAACGTTATTTAGAGTTAAAATTAATGCAGAATGAGTTGGGCTTGCCTTTTTATCTGCAGACAATTGACAGAGTTAATAACTTGTTATTGTCACTTTATTTTAATAGTCTGGTGATGGGGGGGAGCTGGCAACAACCATAGCTCTTTACTCCTTCAGGATTTCAACGTGGCTCCAAATTATTTAACTGCTGCACTATTCTACACACACAATTGTCACATATTGCTCATGTAACTAATCTCTACTAAAAACCAGCTAATGACCAAGTCCATTACATTTTCAGTCAGACCGTAATCGTATAGAACGTGAACTAGCTAACACAAGCACGTGCTGCAACGTGAAGTTAAGCTAATCTAACTATACAAATTAGCTGACTTGATACAACTGGAGCGCATTAAAGATAAAAAAATATACCACAGACAGGATTCACTCGGTATGAACTTGTGCTATAAAGGTTGCTTTCAGCAGCCTACATCTCTCCTAAAGCAACTTTCCGTAATAAACTGTGAACTGAGAAAGTTAGCATGCTCTAAGCTAAATCCTAGCACACTATTCATTGAGCATTCGCGCTCACCACTCCAAAACCCTCAACTTTACCAAAATTACGATAACGGTCGGCTGTTACTGTAATGTTAAGTTACATCTGCACGTGGAGCACAGCTATCTTTTACATAGAGAAATGTCTACAAATATCTAAAATATTTGTTACTTACCAATCCACTTTCACTCAAAGTCCGACAGTAGTAGCGACGCAGTGGTGGAACTTGCCCGAACATGTGCAGCAGGGCAGAGTTTGAATAGGCCCCTCCCCTTCATTTCAAAATCAAAACATCTTTAGTAATCTCTGCTTAACAAGATCATTACACTCTATATTTTAGTAAAAAAGTACAGTCAACTTATTTGATTTAGTAATGAGACAACATTTTTACAAAACATAAAATAATAATTAATGATTACTAAAAAGTGTAAATACAATTGATATCAGGGTTAAGAGTGTACGCACACCCCATTTACGATAATCACGTTCATCCTCTGAAAGAGGAGCTTTTTTGTCCCAGCGTGCACCTTCATGACGCGGTTTGTTAGTTTGAAAAGACTGCTTTTTCTCGCCTTTCTTAGGAGGGGGCGGCGATGCACTCCGTCCTTCCAGTTCTAGGGAGTGGGGTTTAACCTTTACACCAGGAAACACTTTTATGGGCGTCTTAGCATGAGAACATGCCTCAAACACATTCACAGCACACTGTTTAATCTCATTGATGGATTTTTCTTTGAAATTTGCCATCATTTGTACTGACAATTTAATGTCGGTGTGGAGATTTTTGCTGAAAACAAATTTAAAACCTTCTTCTTCCTCCATTCCGGTTTCATTTCTGTAACCAAAATAAGCTTGGAAGATTCTTTTGTAATAAACCTTTGGATGTTCATGCTTCCCTTGCGTGACCTTGTCAGCAGCTGGGAAACCAGCAGGTCCCGTGCAGGGGTCGTACTCTTTTATCAAAGCTTCACACAGAAGGTTGTAATCCTTTCTCGTGGCATCAGGTTGACGCTCGATGAAGGTGAACACCTCTCTGTCCGAAGTGAGCCTTATCAGACTGATTTTATCCTCAACCGTAGCATTAGGATAACCACTCAGTCTGAAATCAAGGTCTTTGAGATACGCTTTTGTTCCAGTTGAACCCACTGGTCCAGGTACAAAGCGTTGTACATATTTTGATAGTTTTTGAAGATCATCTATTGAAAGAGGAAGTTTCAATGCTCTCTGTTGCCTGGTTGGTAGTGGAAACCTGTTCAGGTCTGTCTCTACCACTTGAGGTAAGGGTGGAGGTGTGTGTGATGTAAGGAGATTTGGGTCTGAAACCCAGTGTGTCCCCACATTCAGTCCATGCCTCTCACCATTTTTCCTTTCTGCATGGTAAAGTTGTGTTTTAAGCGCGTCTATCTCAGATTTGCATCCGCTCAGAGCATTTGATGCTTCTTGCAACTGTTGTTGTAGAGCATCGTTGTCTGAGCACAACTTTTGGTACATGATCTCCCTTTCCTTCAATTTCTCCTCATATGAGTGAGCTTGTAAAGTAAGGTTATTCTGTGAGAGGTCCCTCTCACATTTTAACTCATGTGCACCGGTCTCTTCAGCAAGTTTAGACTGTGTCATGAATTTGAGATAAGCCTCTCTGTCTGTTGCATATGCTTTAGACAGCACGTCATTTTGTTCAACCTGTTGATCCAATTTGTCTTTGAGAAGCAGAGAAATTTTTGCTAGCCGTTCAAGGCTCAGCTTTTTATTCTCTTTAACCGTGGCTCCTTTTGCTAAACTTCTCAGCTCTTCAGCTCTTTGAGTTTCATCCATCTGTTCTAATTGTGTGCCAATAATTGGGTTTGTTAAAATATTTAAAGCTCCCTGGATGATGTCATCTTGTTGACTGTCATCTTCTGACTGGGAGTCTAAAGGGTCAACGTTTTCCTCTTCTCCTGCCATTATCTTCTATTTAAAAATTAAATAGGAAGATGTGGTGTTTTAGGTGGTAAAATAAATCAGAAAAGTTTCCTTTTTCAGATATAATTACTCTTATTTAGTGTTCTAGCAATTAAACGTGTATTATCTTTTCAGCAAATGAGTAAACTTTATCAACTCTGTGAATATCTGGACTGTATCTTTAAAAAGTTTCTAATTTTTCATTTTGCACCTCCTTTTGAGGAATTATCAGTGAATGAAAAATGTCTTAGTAAATGCCTTTCTGGGCATAAATACCTTAATCACTTTTTAAATGCAAGATAACAGTAATAACTCAGCTTGAGGAACGTTTATTAACTCAAAAATGCTTCTGACAGAAATAAACACGTTTAATTTCACCAAAATATCCTAAAAATGAAGTGAAACTGTGATTTCAAGTTTCCAACAGGAGGTGGCAGTATAACCTTATTTTATTTTAACCCTGACACTGTTAGTGGCGACCATTAGGAGTCGCGATGACTTCCTATGGCTTTGGTGACATCCGGTCGTTAGCTGATAGCTTAAATTAGCATCGGCTAGCGTGGTCCAAAAACACCATTTAATGACGGATTTAAAACTTAAACGTGGCAAAGTTTCAGCGATTAGGCTTTAAATAATCGGAACAGCGAATCAGAACCAACTTTAAAGCGTTTTTCAACTTTAAACAGCAGATTGAAATTCCCTATGAAGACGAGCTTCATTTCCGGGTCACGTGACTGAATCTACCAATGACAGAGCAGCGGCAGGGGTGGGTTTTACAACCTGACATCAGAGGAAGTGACGACAGACACGTCACTCGTCTCTCCAGCGAATCAGGGCGTTTCAAACAGCGGTTTTCAGCCAATGACGGATCGTTTTTTCAGCTAGCGTGTTAGCATTTAGCCTGAACAAGTCCGGTCAACTTTCGTCATTAAAACTGTCAAAATGCACAATTTTCTGTTAAAAATGTGACGAATAAACTCCCAAAAGCTCACTGAGACGGTGCTCAGTTTTTAAAAAGCAGTTTAATCATGCAAACGACTCGTTTGAACGAATCAGAACCGAGCCGGAACAGAACCGGGCAGAACCCCCTTTCTGCACCACAGGTTAAACATAATCAAACGCTTTCCACAGCTCATCAGCTTTGTCACACAACAGACGTACATTTCAGCTTTAAAATGAAACCCATTGACGTTATTTTCAGCTTTCAAAACACCACAACTGTAAACTTTCTCTGAACCCCACAGCTGCAAAACGCTGCGTTTCACACAGCAACCTGCACTCTTAAGCTAGTTTCAGTTAAGATCAGATATGCCAACATGATAATTCAATTGTTACACGAATAACAGTCCATTTATGATACCGTACGAGGCCACCAGATGTAAATGAACATATATCTGTGAGATATTATTCATAAATTAAACGGATTCTTTCATTTTTCTGGACTGAGTTCTATCGTGCATTGAACGATTAAATGTAACGTGAGACGTTAATTTTCTTTGACCCATCAAAATGAATGCGGTCATTTATTAACAGAATCAAAGTTTAACATCAAACATTTACATTAATTTGGCAAATTGATTTCAACAACAGCTTAATTAATTAGCTTTACAATCAGAAACCATACGGCCATGGTATCTTGGTTAAGCTTTACAACAGACATTTTTGAAAATATCTGGATTAATTACTGGCAGATAGAAGAGTTTTAAAGATGGGAAATGGAGTTTAAATGGAGAGAGATGGGTGAAGATGTATGTGTCTGTATAAGATGTAGGTCTGTAGACCAGAACGACAACACGCTCCTTTGGAAATCAGCTTAACCCACGGTACACTTTGGTTGAGATCGACTCTTTACCTTTGCAGATGATAGTTTTCGGCGTCGGTGTAGAGTTTCCTATCAACTCTTTCAGCGTCTCCGTAAGAACAGCTAAAACCTCAGGAGTCGTGAGATTATCCCAGAACAGACTTCTTCATAGTTCCTCTGAACTTCTCTCGTTCAGAGACTTCTCGTTCGAGGTCCTCCCTGGAACGTTGTTCAGCTTAGTTGCCGTTGTTCTCTAGCATTCTGCATTCCAGCATTCTGAACTCTGCTGCTCTCGGAACTAACTCTCAGCATTCTCTCTGGAACTAGGAAGTGTTGAACCTTTTAAAGAGGTCACTTCCGGTTCCTCTGAGAACTTCCTGATAGGTCGATAGACCCAACAGGGGTGTGGTTTTAGTGATGTAAGGGGTTATTAAAAGTCAAGGAAAAAGATTAAGTTGTTTAAGAACAGACAGAAGATGTTTTGAAGAAACCGAGACTTTTTGGTGCCAGTTCTCCTTCTATCTGTCTGAAAAAGTTAAACATGACATTTCTTTCCAGTAAACATGTAGTTGACCGAAACTTGACTTTTGACCGACTTACAACCTGCTCATTTCAGACAGAAGATCAAGAAAATGAATAATTACTCTGTAACAGACATTAACTAGATTTCTACTTTGAATGAGGATTAAAAATCATTTATACTGTTTCACAGTTGATTTAAAATGAGTAGTTCACTTCAACATTTAAAATGGCTTGAACTAAACACACTTTGATTATCAAGACATTTGTAAAATAGTAATGATAATAAAAAAGAGAGTGTTCTTTCAATTGATCAGTGCAGGACACACTTAGAAAGTCTCTGGATGAACTTTATTTTGTGTTTCTGGACTCAAATCAATGAAATGACAGTTCTTGTCCCAGGAAGGCCCTCAGGGCCAGATTTGACCTGAGGCTTAGTTCACTACACCTTCGTCACCTCTCGGCTGGATTACTGTAACGCTCTTTACCTTGGAGTCAGCCAGTCCTCCCTCAGACGCCTCCTGTTGGTCCAGAACGCTGCTGCTCGGCTTCTAACTGGAGTTCAAAAAAGGGAGCACATGACCCCCACTCTGGCTTCACTCCACTGGCTGCCTGTTCATTTTAGAGTTCATTTTAAGATTCTTTTATTTGTTTTTAAAAGTTTAAATGGTCTTGCTCCATCCTACCTCTCTGAGCTGCTTCACCCGTACTCTCCTGCTCGGTGCCTCAGGTCAGCTGATCAGCTGCTCCTGGAGGAGCCGAGGTCCAAGCGGAGGCTCAAAGGGGACAGAGCTTTTTCTGTTGCTGCTCCAAGACTGTGGAGCGATCTCCCTCTTCCCATCAGACGAGCCCCTTCACTGTCCAGTTTTAAAACTCTTTTAAAAACACATTTTTACTCCCTGGCTTTTAGTACACACTGAATTTGATCTGCACTGTTTTTATTACTTTTATTGATCTTAATGTTTTAACAACTGTTTTTATGTATTTAAATGT